CATTTCACTTGGGCACATTAGTTTTTCTTGGTGGAAAGTTGTGACTTATATTTATTTTGTCTTAAGCCAGAAATTACCATCATTCAATGGTATATTCAGTCACAAGTGTGAGATGGCTCTTGTTTATTAAATTGCTCTCCATCAGTCCTCCTTTCTCTCCTCATGGCCTGGAATGGAGAGAAAAATAGCTCAGATTTTTTTGTAAATGAATAAAGTCTTAGGGCGGCACGGTGGTGTGGTAGTTAGCACTGTCGCCTCCCAGCAAGAGGGTTCTGGGTTCGAATCCCGGGGGAACCAGGACCTTTCTGGGTGGAGTTTGCATGTTCTCCCTGTGTCTGCGTGGGTTCTCTCCGGGTTCTCCGGCTTCCTCCCACAGTCCAAAAACCTGCATGTTAGGTTGATTGGAGATTGGGGAAATTGCCCTTAGGAGTGAATGTGAGTGTGAGTGGTTGTTGGTCCTTGTATGTCCTGTGTGTGGCCCTGCGATGGACTGGCGAACTGTCCAGGGTGTACCCTGCTTCTCGCCCGTTGACCACTGGGATAGGCTCCAGTTCCCCCCACGACCCCAACAGGGAATAAGCGGTATTGATAATGGATGGATGGATAAAGTCTTACATTTAAGCCATTTCTAATAGTAGTTATTTCGTAAACTTCATGTCCTTGTGCATCTGAGAGTGATGAAGCACTTTTGATCCATTTTCTATTTTAAAAATTTAGTTCAGCACACCGTCACGTAGTTGGCATTATATAGCATAGCTTTGCCCTGGTGTCACACAAACAGCGAGTCTCTCTGGGTGTTTTCTCTGTGATAGAGGAAATGGGACAGCAATGCCAGACCTATTAGGGAGGCTGTGTGCGCACGGAGGGAATTTTCTCGCCGGTTGTTTTTGCGGGCGCTCATTGTTCAGGAGCAGTACGATTTCACGGTTAGCTCATTAATCATCCTGCACACAGCATTCATAACTGTCTGCTACTACGCTATTGAACATTTGTAAAAGTTTGAAAAGCAGTTACCAGTCCAAACCTGCCTGCGCCACTTTTTTCAGAAATCAGAGGGACATGTCTGTATCGTTAAGACAGGCTGGTGTTGATGATGATAATCTAAGTGCTTTTTAATTTTTCTCTACCTGATGGCAAAGGTTTTTCCTTAATGTTTGGTATTATTCAGAAGTTTCCGATCAGGCTGTTTCGTGACTTATGATTCTTTGTACTTTGAGAACTTTTCTGTGATGTCACCTCAAAGTCCCTGTTTTGAATCAAGCTAAACAATGCTATTTCATTGTGTTCCTCTTTGTCTTTTCAGAACAAATCAAAGTGTCTGTTAATGATTTCATTATCAAGGCAGCTGCTGTTACACTCAAAGTAAGTATGGTTCAGAATCTACTTTTAATTAGATTTGATTCCTGTATATTCACTCCCTTCTTTTTAATATAACATTGCATACAGATATCTGTTCTTTCAGGGGTTTATTAAAACATAATTTTAAAAGCAAACTGAAAAGTTAGTTGTGCAATTTATTGTTTATTTTCACATTTTTATTTTAACCCTAAGAATGTATTCCCTATAAAAACAACAGAATAATGATTTTAAAAATGCTTGTTTACTTTACCCTCTTTTTTTTTTTAGTTTTGCAAACAAATGATCATTTACTTTGGTCCAAGATTAGGACTATGTTGGAAGTAAGTGGGGTTTGGAAAATGGTTGCAGTTCTTCCACTGTTTAGTTATACCAGTTGTAAATGTTACAGCAGTATTGCAAAAGAGCATTATATCAGCTTATTTTTATCCTTTCCCATGAATTATTGAACTAGCTTCAGTTAATATTTGTCAACCTGAAGGACGCATCCAAGTCCAAGCAGCAGCTGACAAACGTGGCTGTTTAGTGGTGTGATGAATGAGGAGAAT